GAGGGGGATGCTTCCAGGAAAGCCCGGGTGTCCTGGGTAATCTCTGCCATGTGTCCCAGCTCAGGTCACTTTCTCTAGATTTGCAGAACCCCTTGTTCCCTTGAGTCTCCATGTAAACCAACCTCTCTGCTAAAACTTATCTCCGTCATTTTCCCAGGAGTAGAGGTTATTTGCTTTGATTGCATTAGCTTCTAAAATGCAGAATTAGTACCTGTCCTGTCACTCAGTGCCATCTGTGAACGTTGTTCTCTTGCGGAACAAAACGTCTTGTATATGCAGACTGTGTTACGTTAATAAAGGGCCCCATCTGTTTCTCTGCGCGAAGACCCATAGAAAATGTGCCTTCCTGGAGCTGCCGTAGAAGTGTGGTATACCAAGAGACTGTTTCATGTCACTGGTTGTTACACAAGTGTGGTGGTAATTGCTTTATGCCTCTGGTGAGGTTCCTGGGAATATGCCCTAGCTTGCAGCTTGGTCCCTACTCAGCTGTTCTCCTGTCTTTGCTGGTGGCCTGCTTGGAAACCCTGCTCTGGCTGCAGCCTTGGGCAGCAACTTACAGCATTGCTGTTGTCTGCATTACGGTAGTCAAACATGAATTAGTGTGGTCTCAAATAGAGATTCATCCTTAATTGTATTCTTGTATCTGCGTTTCTTTTGGAATGCAAAAAAACTTGGCTGTACTTAGAAGGTGTCCCATACTTTCCACAGCATCCTGCCTTACATTTGTCTCTGTTCTAACCAGTGCACGGCTTTCTACATAGCAGTCGGCATAAGCAGCTGTTTCTCCACACCTGTGCCCTTTGTCTCCCTGTCCCTGGCCTGTCCATATCTTACCTCCTTATCCCTCTGTGTTGGTCCTGTACAGTGCAGGTCCTGGATTCCACTGAATTTCTGCAGGTCCTGGGAAGCAGATGTCGGAGAGTAGGAATAAATTGTATACGAGTAAATTGCTGCTGGTCGTCTGGCTGATGCTTTCTCATCTCTCAGTGAAGCAGTGATACCTGACAGTTGGACCATGAATAAAACACTCTGTTCGAATGTTAGATGAAGTATGTTTGGTTTTTTTTCCGAAACAGTTTTTCTGAAAGAAAACTTCTGCTGTGGTATTTGAGCTCTGAGGAGCTGCCAGCTCTGTGCCAACGTGGAAGGGCACGTGGGGCTGTCTACGTGGCTGCAGACACTACAGCAGGATCCAGACTTACCCATTGCACTGCAGTGGAAAAGAGATGTGAAGGGCAAGTGCTTCTCAAACCACTCATCCTTTTATGTTGATGAATGTTGTGATCTTGGAAGAGCTGCCTTTCAGGTCATCATGGTTATTGGCACAAGCTAGGAGGTGCAAGTATTTTTTAATCTGTTGGACTAGTTAGGAGGATTTGGCATTGGTTACAGTGTAACTTGCCATGACTTGCTCCTAGAGCCATTTTATCAGTTGTTGATCTGGGCATCATCTGTTATTTCTGGTTAATGGGAGTAATTGTTTCTGGTTGTGTCCTTTAGCATAGTATGTGTTGTTACTACGTATAGAAGTTTGAAATGAGACATAAAACCTATGGCCTGCTCTCTGATGTACAGAAGATGTGGCAATATCTTTAGGGTAGCTTTAGCATTGTATTTTGATTGTGAATTGGTGAACTCTTTGCATCACCTGAAAGGCATCTTGTGTTAAAAGAAAAGTTAATATTAAAGTCTGACCCTTTTCAGAATGGTGAAATGATTTGCTGTAACTGTCTTTCCATGTGTGCTGGAAGCATTAGCTCACAGAGTGAATTCTTGTGTGTGTGTGTGTGCATATATGTGTACATGTATATAAGAGATAATGTCTGGTTGAAGTTTTAAGTAAGACAGCCATGGCTAAAGCAGACTGTACTCTATGGTTCCTGTCCTAATAGCACTAAGTACTGCAGAGTCTAAGCTTGAGTGTGATTTGTTAGTATTCTATGTCTACAGATAGAGTAGTGCTCTCCTTTATGCAGAAGGCAGGAGATTACTTTTATTGATCTGGTTTATTCTTCAGCTTTTCATTACACTTGTGTAAAAGATTTAGAAATCAATCAGGTCAGACTTATCTGCTTAACTTCCCTGAGTTTTAAGACTGTTGCTTGGAGTTGTGGTATCCTTGTCTGTAGTTTTCACTACCCTTTTTTTAAGTCCCAATTCAGGACTTGAAGATGCATTGCTCCTAGGTCATTTAGCTGCAAAAGGTTTTTGCTGAGCTATTACTTTTGGTCTGCCAGACTTACATTGAGGAGAAGAATCAAACGAGCTCTGCCCCTGCTAGTATGTCTGCATTTCTTTTTATGTTGGGAAACAATAACTTTGCATATTGAACAGAAAAGGCCACTGGAAAGTCTGGTAAGAGAGGAAAGAAAAAGGTATTTTTGAGGATTCATTGCAGTTCAGTAACAGAAGAGAAACAGCAACACAGTGCTCAAAAGGAAGAGAGTTTGATTTGAAAAAAAAATCCAACTTTATTATAATATTTATTCTGTGTGTGTAAAAATAAAATATGAACCAAATTATGCCAATGACATGATTCATCTGGTTCTTTTTTCTTCCTCATTGCATGTGGGCAGCTTCCAGTAATGTTAGAGGAAATCATGATGTATGAGGAATAATTTTATTTTGAAAACAATCCCACTTTACTGCTAGGATTACTCGGGTCTTATGGGGACACAGCACTGCACCTGTGCGCTACTAGCAGATTAGGGAATATTCTGAGTATTTTTGAGCATAGAAATGTTTTTTGGTCAGATGAAAGTATTTTATTAAGGAACAACGTAGTTGAGAGGTGACATTTTTGCACTTCAAGTGCTGTGAGTGGACTCTGTGTCAGGTCTTCTCATCTCTGCTGATCATGGATGAACCCTCCTCCCCCCAGCCTGTCATTGCTCTCAATTTACCAGACTTTGGGTTTTTTATTTTTTTTTTAACATAGTGAGTGACACCCTCTAGAAATGAACGGAATACAAAAATGTGTTGTCATGTTGAAAATGTACAAATGTCGGGGAATTATTTTAGTTTATTTGCGGCTGTCTCTTCAGCCTCCTAATTGTCTAATTAAATGATTTTTAGTAACAATTTTACATGGTTGAGACAACTTTTGGACTGATAGAGATCTTAGATATACTTTTGCTGAACTAAAACCAGCAATTTCATAACCTAGTTCTTTCTGAAGATAAATTAAGGTAATTCAAATTGAGCTTTTGCACAGGTATAGAATTGTGGGGTTTTACTTCTCTGTGGTGAACCCTTAAAATATTTGCTGGTACGATTGCAGAGGCCTGTGTAATGCATTTACCCCTGCTAGCAATAGATCTGCTTAACCACTTTTGTGGATCCCCTAGAAGTTGCTCAGTGATCCCCTGGGTCTGTGGATCATTGATTGAAAATCACCAGGATCCAGAGGAGTTCAGGCTCACAGACCGTTAGTCAGCATCTACGTGTAATGAAAAAGTATTAAAGAAATTATCTTCCTTTCTGAATGTAATTTCCGTAGGTTTGACTTAGCTGCATAGGCACTGGACATGTTTTATGTAGCATTTCCATGAGAATATATGATGCCTCTCATAACATCTAAGGTATGCTGTGGGTTCTCAGTTTTGATTTTTGTCAGTCGGGAATCAGTTGTGAGGTGGGCACTGGGCTCCAGATGGAGCTGCTGGGTCCATATGCCTTGTTTTGCCTCAGGGTTTATGGCAATTCCATCTCTGTCGTTATGGTTAATCATAAATCTATTTTGCATTTGTTCTTCTGAGTTATTTTCTCAGAGAAGTCCATGCACTTCAGTTGGTATGACCATAAAGCCATGTCTGATTTAACTGAATGTTTTGTATTAAATTGGGTGCTCTTTTCTGGGAGCCACTAAGATGTACTGTGCTGGCGTATTGTTAACCAGTTGTATTGCTTATATCTGATTTGAAAAGCAGTACTGGTTTTCTTGTTAAGTAGAGCTTAAGGCTACAGATTATTTACATAACTATGAGATGTTACCGTAAGATTAAGTACCAGCACTGTCTATTGTGACTTAAAATTATTTTTGAAAAGCAAATTTAATATAAATAGAAATAAAATTTGATTGATGTAATAAAAATTGGATTCCTGCCTTTATTGCTGTTTCTGCCTGAGTTCCTGGGTTGTTTTTTTTTTAACTTAAATTGCATAACTCGTTCATATCCCTAATACTATTTTAAGGCCCGTCTATGTATCCTTTGGAGGACACAGTATTCTGACTCTGTCTAGATTATGACATTGCTTCAACCACATGAATTGGATGATATCAGTGAAGATGAATATATTTAACCAAATACTAGAGTTTAGAGTTTACTATAATACTGTTAAGGGTAACTTTCATGAGAGACTGTTCAGAAACCTGGAAGTTACCTCCTAAATAGAGAAGCTAAACACAGTATTTAGAGGGTAAATTTCAGGCGAGCTGATGTTAATTGGCTTACTATCCATTTCGGCTTAGGTTTTGTCATTTTTTAAGAACTTGAAACTAAGCCTGACAACCAGCCATTCTTGCTAGAGTGTCCAAGCAAGTGCTGTATCAGTTTATTGGTCTAGCCAAATCGGTATAGTTATACCAAATTACTACTAAACTTTGGTACAAGCCTTTAGATTTCAGTCCTGCTTTGAACTCAAGGGAGACTTTCTTCTGCTTATGCAAATTCATTAAAAATTGAATCCTTAGATCTGATTCTAAATGCTAATGTCCTTTATCTGTTCATTCATTTCTTTAGTCTCCCACCAGCACCACATGCACACACTTTCTTCGTCTGCCCTCCCCAGCAGTGGGGAAAAATAACTATAAATATGGATAGGGTCTTCAGGCTCCAGGATTTTTTTATGACTTGGGATTTTTCCAAATGTCTGTGCCGTTGCTTAATTAGAATAGTCCTCTGTCAAAGTAGGGTTTAATTGCTGTGAATCTTACGCTTCTTATTTTTAATGTTTTTGAACAGATGTTACAATAAATTTTTTTTTTTATTATTTTATAGGCAAATTTAGAAAACAAACCAGTAAATGGCCGCAGACCAGAACTCATGGAATGCAGTATATGTGGTCATGGCGAAAAATACAGGGTGAAACCAAACCAAACAGTACCCATTGAAAATGTGCAGTGTAAGGAGAAAGAAAGAATGACAGGCTTAGAAGTAGAGAAGTGGGCACATAACGAGAAGCCATCTTTTGGCATCCATGTCAACGGAGATATCCATGGAACTGTGACAGGCAGCGAACACTTGAAAAATGCTGAAGACAGTGAAAGAGCAGTCTCTCCCAGTCAGTTAGCTGAGCCAAAAAAATCATTCGCACAGACCATCAAAAATGGCATAAAACCGCTACATTATTCACCATCGGAAGCAGTTGCTTCACTGAAAAAAGTATCTGTAGAGGAAAGGACAGATTTGACAATTAACTCCCATATGCAATGGGCGAAGGGTACCAATCTGAATAACATAGTAAACACTCTGACGACTGGCATTGGCTGTGTTCACCCAGAAAAACAAGGAAATGTTTTGATGAAAGAGGAAAACTGTACTTGCAGCATCTTTGAGGATTCCGGTAAGTCAGTTTTGCAGACGAGTTCCATTTTGGATCTGCAAGAAAGCTTGTGTTGTCCTCCACTGTCTGAAGAGGAAGTGCATGTAGGGAAGGATGGCTTGAAAGTACCTAACACAGAGACACAGCATGACGATTCTTCACTCCAGCCGACTTTCTTGTCCCTGATTAAAAACAGAAATTTAACTGTAGAGCAGGTTGTAGCTATTGAAGCTTTAACACAGTTATCTGAAGCCCCTTTAGAAACAACCTCACCAGCTAAAACTGAAAGTACTGAATGTACGGAAGAAACAACTTCCAGCTTGCTCCATAGTTATAAAAGGGATATCTCATCTTCCTTCACATCTTCTACATTAAAAGAAATCGAGGACTCTTACCTACAGAATGAGCAACAGCTCTTGGCTCACTGCGCTCACTCGCAGAAGCAGCTCCCCAGTAAGGCAGTTTTATACAATGGCCAAAGTTCAGTTTCTGAATTGCATGATAAACCTGCCAGTCTGGCTGGTGAGATGTACAAATTACAGTTATCCTCAAGAGATGCCAAAACTTTATCTGACTTAACATCTAATACAAAATCATTTTCAGTATATACTACCAAGAAAAATTATGATCCAGTCACCCTTGCACGGTATTGCAATGCTTCACGTAATGTCCAGCAAGCAAGTCCCAACTTGGAAACCCTTGGCCAGTTCGAGCAAAAGCCAGCTTGTAATGATTTGAACTTGGACGCTAGTTCTTTGATTAAAGAAGGAGGAATTCACAGCCAGGATGAAGAGGATGTAGCTACGCAACTAACTCAACTTGCAGCGCTAATTGAATCAAACCAGACAAATCCAGAGCAGAAGAATGACATAAAGGCATCACTGCTTAATCTAATATCGCACGAGAGGCAGCCAAAATATAACCAAGATGTGTTACAGAAAAAAGAATCTGTAATTTTTAGGCATAATTATAGTTCCCTACTGTTAAAGCAAAAACAACCAACAAATAAAAAAGGAAACGCTGTACCATGGAAACCAAGACACAAAAAGAAGCCTCAAGAAGCACGCTATCAGCAAAATAATCAAAACCAGCTAGAGCTGTTGTCATGCCAGCATGGCGAGTTACAGGACATTTGGATATCATCAAAACTGCACAAGCTTGGTCAACACGTGCCACAGGACTCCAGAATAGCTCCGTCTGAAAAAAAATCTCCAAGAACCAAAGTACAAAGAGCACTGAATCAAAATACTTCAGCATCACAAGAAAAAACTAGATTATTTCTCCCACAAACGCAGATAAAATTCCATAGATGTTTACCTGAGGTACCGCAAGAGAAAAAAAAAGACAGGTTGTTTGGCTGTGAAGTGGTGAATGAGCAAATCAAAACAGCAGGCTCCGGTGACCCGTTAGGCATTGATCCACTGAAAAATGAAGTTCCTGCACATAACCAGTATAGCGACCTGTCCTCCTGTAATCCTCTGGCTGTTTCACAGTTGAAAACAGCACCCTTATCGAACAGACGAACTGAAAACCTACAGATGTTTACAGAAAAATGTAATTCTCAGGTACAGCAAACAGCAAGTGTCAGTCAGATGCATCCTTTGCCTCAAGCTTTTAATCAGTCTAACCTGAGACCTAATGAAATGCCTAGCGAAGACACCTATATTCAGCAAGGTGCTGTCGAACAACAAGTAGATTGGAAGTCACAGGTGCTGCCTGTTCCCTGTGGCAGGGCCCAGGCACCAGGTGCTGTTGAATCTCTCAGGAATATGGAGTGTGCTGGTGAAGTGACCGTTCTGACTTCAACCAGTTTAGGTACTGACCACCCACAGAGCACAGGCGACTCACGGTGTTCTCCAGCAAAAAACACACTCAGCAGTTTCCTTGAATCACCGATGAAGTTTCTTGATACCCCTACAAAAAATTTAATAGATACTCCTACAAAAAAAGGACAGTCTGAATTGCCAACTTGTGACTGTGTTGGTAAGTCTTTTTGCTAACTTTTGGCTGTACCTTTCAGATGGAGGTGTGTTTGTCTTGCCACCTTTAATGTGAGGAAGTGTACTTGACACTTCCTTAACTGTTGCAAAAGGATCAGTGTTTCGCCATTAGGAAATGGGAGAGAATTATTTTTTCCCTTTCTGTAACTTTTGCCTGGAGTTCTTTGAGCCTACAAAGCACAGCAGTATTGAATATTTTTGGTATTGCAACTGGCAGGTTTAAATTCTCTACTCCTTTTCCCTGGGTTTAAATTTTTTCTGTTTGTTGTTTTGTCATTGCTGATTTGTGCTCTGTGTGAATTTATCTGCAGTATATCAATCGTGATTTTTATGGTCTAGAAATAGTTTTTGCCTGAAATGGGGAAAAAATTTCCCAGTATATTGTCATTGTTGCCTCAATGCTGTCAGACAAGTGGCAAGGCATAGCTGTGGGTGGTCTTATTACTGTCACTGTTGGTCCTAATGACTAATGTGAGTTTGCCTTGAAGAGTCCCTGTTAAATGCTACTAGACACCTCTCATCGCAGAGAGGAGAGGTAAGGAGGAGTTCAGGTGACGCCACATACATTATGCCCTAGTGAGGGCCCATCTGGAGTACTCTCCAGTTCTGGGCTCCCCACTTCAAGAAAGATGAGGAGCTACTGGAGAGAGTCCAGCGGAGGGCTACGAGGATGGTGAGGGGACTGGAGCATCTCTCCTATGAGGAGAGGCTGAGGGAGCTGGGCGTGTTCAGCCTGAAGAAGAGAAGGCTGCGAGGGGACCTTATAAATGCTTACAAATATCTGAAGGGTGGGTGTCAGGAGGATGGGGCCAAGCTCTTTTCAGTGGTGCCCAGTGACAGGACAAGGGGCAATGGGCACAAACTGAGGCACAGGAAGTTCCGTCTGAACATGAGGAAGAACTTCTTCCCTCTGAGGGTGACGGAGCACTGGAACAGGCTGCCCAGGGAGGTTGTGGAGTCTTGCATTGCATAATGAGATGTCAGACCGAACTCAGTATTGAGGATTTTGCAAATACAGCTTGACTGGTAGTGTGAGACATGCTGTGTTTTCAGACTATCGAAGTGCACAGATGGAAAAACAAGTCGGAGACTTAAAAACGAATTGTACACAGGCAGATTGTTTCATCTTTGCTTTAATGTTCTGATTCAACAGAGTGCTAGTTACGAGGCCTGGATTATGTTTTCTGTTCTGTAGTATATGACTATCAGTTAATTATATGTTTTCCCTCAATTCTCCTTTGTCTAAAATGAATTAATAATGTTTTCCTGCCAATAAGGATACCAGGAAGCTTACTTAGTCAATACGTGCCAGCTCCTGTAGTGAAAATTTGTGAAGAATGCAAAATATGACTAAATTTGGGATTACTTTGTAACATAAAGAAAAATTAATTGAAGATTAATAGGGAGGAAACAAGTATAAAATAATTTTGCCTCTGAGGAGAAAAATCTGTCATAATCTTTATTCATTAGATTTCAGGGACAAATTTTATGTATTGTAATTTAATTTGGAAGATGTTTCTGTAAACTATGTCTAAGCTTACTTGTAATGGTGTAAATAAATTTTGTGTGTGCCAACTTAGTTTTTTCAACCTGCTTACAGAGCAAATTATAGAGAAAGATGAAGGTCCATATTACACACACCTCGGGACAGGACCAAGTGTTGCTGCTGTGAGAGAAATAATGGAGAACAGGTGAGGAAAATTCGGCATTTAATGCTCACAGTATTTTTGACTGTCTAAGCAGGAAAGAGGAAGAGCTATGAGAAATCAGGTGCTATGTTTACCTTTGTTTTTCCAAACTTTTTGCAGTACTTATTTGTAAAGTGTTTTCCTGTTCAGATGTGCATGAGATTGAGCACTAACATTTTAGTTCCAAACTCATGTCTTTTCAGAGCTCTTGCAACTTTAGGGTTGAATTTCAAGTACAGTGTTCACTGCCATTGAAGTCATTAGGAGTAACAGAGAACAGCAGCTGTCAGAATTAGGTTTTCTAGGTTCTACATGCAAAGAAGCCATGGCAAACTGAACAGAAAGGTCACATTAATGACTAAGTGCACTAGGATTTACATGCAGATAACATTTTCTTCACCAAATAACATTTCCTTAGTGGCAGAAGCTTGTTATTGGAAATGTCAAAAATCACTCTTGCAAACAGGATTTTAGATGTAAAAGTATTTTTTGACGTTAGAAATATTTTGGTTTTCTTCTGTTCTCAGTAAAGTAAAAATAAATTTGTTGTTCTTGTTTTATATAAAATGTTTCCTTTTTAAAATGGTCCACAGCAGTTTGTTTTACTCATGAACTTTTTTTTAATGCAGGTATGGAGCAAAAGGAAGCGCTGTGAGAATAGAGGTAGTGGTTTATACAGGAAAGGAAGGAAAAAGCTCTCAGGGGTGTCCAATTGCAAAGTGGGTAAGTTTTGATATTACAGCAGTAAAATTGTTTTGTGTGGCTTTTAAATATCAAATGATGTGTAGTCCTTCAGCTTAAATATAATGTGGCCTGTAACGAAGATCTGGTTCTTCATTCAATTGATCTACAAGTCTGCCTGAATGATGAAGCCAAGGAAAACTTTTTTTTTTTTTAAAGAAGTGGTGCTACATGTTATGCTGTGGTTTAAGTGAGTGTGAAAGAGAGGTGCTTAACAGAGCTAGCAGAGATGACCAAATCAAGGGTAAGAAGACTCTGACAGTGTCTAAAGGTTGGAGTGCCTAGTGAAATACGTTACTGGAAAGTCTGAAAAGAGAAAAGAAAGGGTGGTTGCTTAGGAGAGTTGGAAAACTATCCAGTAACATTTTTAAAAACCTTCTCAGCTGTATGAGCATCTGAAGAAAAGAGTATGATGGATGAGGAGGTTCAATCTCATACGCCACGGAGTTCATTATTGTTTTTGAGGAACTGAACTGAGTATTTGGAAATGTAAACGTTATGGTGATAGTTTTCACCAAAGTTTTGTCTCACATTGCTTCATAGGAGCCAGGAAATGAGGTAACAGACACAAGCTCCAAGAGAGAGCTTGGAAAGAATTGATTGTCCTTAATATTTGCTGAAACCACCAAGGGAGGCAAAAACTAGACTGGAGAACTTGTAAACTGAGTTTTGGAAAATAATGAAAGAACTTCGTTGTTAAAAGTAAAATTTTTTATTGCTGTATTTAGGAATTTCAAACTTGATTGAAAAAATGATGAAATTAACTGTACAGTTGGTAGACAAGTGTTTATAACTACATGACAAAAATAAGGTCCATGAATGGTATTGCATGCTAAACCTTTACTGCTTATGTTTCAAAGAGTTAGAATGTGTTTTTCATACTCGGTACATGAACTGTTTTTCAGAAAGGAATCCTGTTGCATATTGCTTCAGATAATATTTGATAACAAATCAGCGTCAAAGAAAAAAAGATGGTAAAACTAATTTAATAAAGAATCGACCCAAAAAGAATAGAATGGTTTTTCTCAGTGTTTCAACTAAATAAAATGCTCCGTTTTAACAGAGGACAGGAGTTAAAAATCTTACCTTAAAAGCAGTTAGGAGCAGTTGAAAGGAAAAAGCGTTTAGAACTAACTCTTAACCTTGATTTTTCTGTTGCCAGTATCAACATACTGTCTTTTATGTAAAACAGGATTGATAGATTTTATTGTATATCTGCTTGGCTGTAGGTGTCCAACATGACAGTCAGAAAGCACTCAGGTGCACTCAGAAAAGGCTGGTTTAAGGTGTGAGGACCTGCTCTCCAGTTAGTTAGATTTTCACATTTCTATATGTAAAGTGTTCATAAGAGTAAGCTTTAATAGTCATTTAACTTAAGTTCCAGTGGTGTTTTATGCAGCAGTGACTTTTTTTGCATGCAAGTTCAGACCAAAAAGGGATGAATGCTTTTCCAAGTCTGCTAAATGTTACCTTGTGACTGCTCAATACAAGAGAGGGAAGGAAATCACTGAAATCTCCTCTGTAGAGCTGTTTCATCCTTTGTAAAATCCACATTTGGGGGTTGGTATTCTTAATGTGTTGCATTAACTTTTCATTGGCAATGCTAATTTCAGTCCTTAGAACAGAGCATATTTGGGTTTTGACTATGACCAAAGAAACACAATTGTGAAATTTGTTTGAAAGCATATGGGAAAAGTTTGCTGTGCTCTCTGATAATTGGAGTCACAAAGTTCTGTCAGCTGCATAGAGACTTTCACTTACTCATTTAGGGTGTACTTTGGGACAGACTCATTTCTGCTTTGCAGATGGACAAGCTATTGCCCTTAGGGCTCCTGAGAAACTTGCTGGTGGGAGCACCACGATGGAGCTCTGCTGTAGCAAATATGATAAGAAAAAATTGAATGTATCTGATCATACTGGACTATTTTTCCCAATTAATTTTCCCTGTCTCCACTAGATAATTTTGTATTATTGGTTCATTAGAAACATTTTAAGATTGAAGGAGGCTTTCTAGAATACCTGCGTCTATACATTCTTCTGTTAGTGACTGCATTTCATAATACTGATTCTTTCCTAAACTGTTGTTGCTTAAGTGGCTCAATTTCTCTTAATGTGCCTGGTATGTTAAACATTTACTGAGGCAGACTTCTTTCCCTTCTGTTTTCTTACTTAGATTTCTGGTTGCTATAAACTTGCAGAATCTTTTCTCTTTCAGTCGTCTTTTCAGAAGAAATAAACATCTGTCTCCTGTGTATTTTTTTGATATATAATATTTTATGGTGATACTTTGTCCCTCTGGATGTGGACAAGAATGCTCCTATTAGCTGACCCTAAATATTATCAGTAAATAACTACCTGAGGTTTGAAACCTTGTAATAGTTGTATGTGTAAGCATAACATTGACAGATAAACTGTGTGCAGTGAAGATGAGCTTGCTATTGTTTTCACTACATGCAGCGACAAGAAGAGTGCTTGACCTCTGATTTTTTTTTCAGCAGAAATTGTATCGTCTGATTTTTATGTCAAAATAGATTTAACAGAGTTTTGCCAGAGGTTTCAGATGTGTGGATAACTGTATAGGTGAGAACTGTGTGATTACAAATTAATTTATCATTCTGTGATGCATGCTGGGGTGAATGTACTCTTCTTTCTTTTTTGCTTGGATTTCTTTTGCTTTTTTGCTTTGTCCAGGTTCATCATACTTCTTCATAATAAGTTAAAGAAAAAAACCTTTGAAGTACTGATATTACTGGCCTGTCAGTAGGCCATTCATATAATAAAAAGTTTCACATTACTGTGCATCCGCTCTAACCAGCCAGTGATGACTGACCTGACTCGTATCAGTCCCATTGTTTTGTCAGTGCTTTAGCTGATAACAGATGTCTCGTGGTGTGTTTTTTCTGCTCTCAGTATCTCTGATGGCAAATTACAATGGTTTATGAATTTTTTTAGTGTTTCATGAGTAACTCACTGTAGGCATAATCCTGCTGCACTGAAGTCAAAGATACACGTCACTGACCTCAGAAGTCAGCTTTGGGTCTTAGTGTTTTCTGGATTAAAGCCATTTCCTGTGGGTTCCTTCTGGTTGCAGTGGATATTGGCTTGGTTCAGCGAAGCTGTCATTGCTATCTGTTGTCTTTATTCAGAGTTACAATGTAATTTTTAAGGCTCTAGCTCTGGATAAAGACAAGAGATAAGAAGCGATAAAAATGGCTAGGTCAGGGCAGAGGTCCTTCTTGCTGATATCCTGTCTCCAGCGCTGACCAATAAGCAGCAAGGTGTGAGAGCAGGGCAGTTGCCTCCCAGAAGACTCACTTAGTTTCCAGTACTGCATAGCTCTGTGGTTCCCTGAGCTGGAGGCAGCATCTTTGCATTCAGTTGCCTTTCATAAATGTTGTCAGCTTTATTTCTCCTTTTCCTGCCTGTTCTCTTCTGCTGGGAGATAAAATGCTGGCACAATGTTTTAAGCTTTGTGCTCTGTTCCGGTAGTTCTAGCAGTTGTTTCTGCTTTTTCTCTGTTGCAGAGCAGTGATTTGGCATTTTCATAGTGCTTGCTATCATTATGCCAGATTCTCATTCTTGCATGGTAATGGCCAACTCGGAGTCCATCTCTATCTGAAAACAGAATTGTTTTCACTGTGTGCATTATATATGCACATTTACAGTGAGTTTCATCTGCCACTTCACTGTCTGCTCAGCGGTATGAACAACTTCTTCATTTATTTGTGGATTGCGGTTGTCTTCACTACTCTGAATTGCTTAGTGTCATCAACAAATGTTGTCATCCTTCTATTTACCCTTAACAAACATGCTGAAGAGCACAAGCTTGAACACAGTTCTGCAGAGCTCCTGTCAGAGACATACCAGCCTTTGTTTCGTGTCTTTACACCAATTATTCATGTGTGGTCTTTTGATTTGTCCCAAGACGCATTAGTGTTTTTTAAAAACCTGTACAAAAGGGCCTCTCTGAATGGCTTTTGGACATCTAGAAAGACCTGCGGTATGACTGAGCTGTGATTTCACTTCAGAAAAGTGTGGTTGCTGCTTTGCCCCACACAGATACCAGGCTAACGTGATCACTTAATCGACGTATTTCTTCTAGGGTCTTTTTACACAGTGGTACCCTCTTGGTAATCTTCAGACCCATAGGAGGAGTTGGGGAGGAAGTTCGTTTTGGCATGTGGAGAGGATGGTTGGTGGGAGTTTTGTTCACCGTTTTGGACAATGTTTTATTAGAGCGTCAATTTCTTGCCATAATGTTGCAATACAGTAAGTTTGTGTGTGTAGCAGGTACTGCAACTGTGCAGGCACTATTTTCTCTGTTTTCTAGGAGGCGTACCTGCTAAATACAGAATTAGAGGAGTTTATTTTGGATGAAAATGTTCGTAACAGTGTCCAAAATAAAGCCATTCTTTGTTAAGTGCTGCAATGCTTTGAGATTCAAAATTATTAGAAACTTTTACATGATTTCTGAAATAAATAAAAACGTTTTAATATTGTTTAATATGAAGAACTACTCAAATATTTCAGTAAACATGAAACAAAATAGCTGTGTTAAGGTAAATTAAAATAAGTATTACAAAAGAGCAAGCATTTAGATTGCTATCATCACTACTTCAATTAAAGCAAGTGGGATATCAGAACAAACTGAGAGAGTAGATCCTTATTGTTGTCCATATCAAAGTGCAGTTTACCATTGCCTGCAATATAGCAGAAAGGGAAGTAAGGAGGGTGAAAGGGCACTGGGAGTTGAGACTTGAAATATGTCCTTGTTTCTGCAGCATTGGTCGCATGATAATAGAAGAATCACTTAACCTGTATGTACTGTAGTCTGCTTATTTGTAAACAGTACATTCTGCTTCCAGTAGAAGCTTGAAAAAAGTGTTTGCAGATAATTGCAGATACCACACTTCAGTGATATTCCTGTAAAAATAACTAAGTAGCTCCATAGTATTGTGATTGACGGTAACTGTTCTAACTGT